TGGAACTCCCAACTAGTCAGTCAGAGCTGATGAAGCCTCTTGGATGAGAGGTGGAACGTCTTCAAGGAACTCAAGCAAGTCCACGATTAAACCACGAGAATAAACATGACCTGGAGGACTGAGAATCTTCACAGACACGTTTTTTATGATTATTTTTGGGGCACTTTTGCCTTTTTTTGTTAGAGAGGAATTGTAAAGAGAAAGGGGCAATGAGAGCAGAGGAATGGCATGCAGTGAGGATCAGCAGTCAGTAATTAGTGAGTTAGTAGAAAAACTGAGTTTCCATAAACAGCTGCAGTATTTCGTAGTCGTTGTCTTTGTTAGAGGCTGTGTAGATTACTTATTCTGACTTAGCAGGATCTGTTCATGTCTTTTTTAGGGGTTATTTATGGGATTTGTTGACTAAAATAAAGACTGACAGCCTAATTCTTTACAAATCTTGGTATGTACTGGTAAACTTGTATTATTTGTCTTTCAGTGGTTTGAGTCTTGTTCGAGCTCTTTGCGTCTTCGCTCATCTGTTTGGCTCGCGAACGCTCGGGATTGCATCCAAAGTGGTACAACCGGCCAGAGGCCAAGCGGCATTATCTTCACTGTGACTGAGGTAGGCCTTCTTGATGTGGGAGGTTAAATGTTTTTTTGTTTTTTTTTCTTTTCTCCGTTGAATGGGAGCTCTGGACTGCAGCGCTTTAGGGACGCGTTTGACCCTCTTTTGATTCTGCGGAAACACACTCAGAACTGTCTGTTTGAACTTCTGACAATGAAGCCGCCGCCGAATCCTGCACAGGAAGAGCTCCGCGTGTGTCCTGAAGGTTTACGGCCGGCCTCGAGGACACGAGGAATGACCTGCGAGGCCGTTAATCATCCCGCGTGGATGTGGAATGAGAGAGGCATTTATTTTGGGCTGCGTGATGACAATAATCCATTCACTTAAGTCACCAATTCCTATTTTTGTCTTTTAATATCTTTGCACTTTTTTTTTTTTTCATCAGAACTCTACAAGCACGAAGGACATTTTTACTAATTTATGGTGGGGGAAACTGATGCTTTAGAAACGTTTTAGTGTCTGTTTTTAAGGAAGGAACTCACGTCACCTTGACAGGAGTAGGAATTGTCAACTGGACTGACTGCAACTTGAAATTGTCTGAAATTTTTTGTTTTGATGTGAATTGGAGGAAAAAAAAAAAAAATCTTGACGACTCCAGTACTACTACTGAAGATAACTTATTTGTCAGTTTTATTTTGATATTCCTGAGCTGTACTTGAACCTTTTGATTCGCAGGCTATGAATGCACCAACAGATGCACTTCCTGGGTGGCCACTTTACTTTTTTGTAATATTGCACTTTTCTTTAAGGCTTGCTCACTGTTCATAGAAATCAAAAAAACTGCACTCACACTGCACAATGTAGTCACTAGGAAAACGCATCCATCTAACTCTGCCTGGATGCACGCTGATGGGAGGAGGCTTCGTCCACCCTAAGCATGCATGCACTTAAACCACTATTATTTAAGGCAACAGCACAAAACAGAAGAGTGCTGTGCGATAGCGTTGCTTTGAATTCAAGTACTTCTAAAGACGGAAAAAGCTTCTGGATGTAAATTATTAATCAAAAATTAAAAGTTATTGGTGGAGGAATTTAAAATAAGAATTAAAAAACTCATGTAAAGCATGTGTAAGTGCTTTGTGTGTGTGTGTGGGAGGGGGAAAAAAAAAGAATGTGATGGTGTTTATATGCCAAAAGACTCGGAGAGGATTCGTTTTTGTTTACAGCATCTGATGATATTTGCATTGCAGAATTTGTGTGTTTATTGATGTGTAAATATCAAAAACGGAGGAACATTCTATGTATATGTGGAGCGTCAACGCAAAACCGTCTCACCATGCGTTATCCCTTCATCACATTTATGTTGTCACAGTTGGAAAGCCTCGTTATCTCTTATTTGTTTTCCAATGAAGAATTAAATATGCAAGCGTGTGTGTCTTGAGTGTGTTCTTGATGTGCCGCCGCTCGACTCATCGCGTGACCTTCTTTTCACATCTGAAGCTCTTTCCTTTTTTTTTTCTCTCTCTCTCTCTCTCTCTCTCTCTTCAAATACCCTAATTTTCTGATTCTCTGCTCCTCTATTTTCTTCTTCCACTGAATATTTCAAGACGCAGAAATGCCAACGCGAAACCCTCCAACCCCAGGCACAATTCAACAAAGAGCCCAACTCTTGAGTGCTTTTATAGCTGAAGGAAATGTTTCGGCCCTCTTCTATATTGCCATTCAGTTTGTCTTTTATTCCTCCATTTGTCTCGTCTTGTTTTATGGCACAGAATCTATACCCATTCACGCTAAAACACATAACTGTACATCCTGCTGGTGCGTTATCTCGATTGTGTGTCATTGGGTTGACGTCCTCCCTCGCAACATGCTGCTCTTCCCTTTCGCTCTCCACATGCGAGGCTCCGTTTTGTTTCGCAATCCCATTATGTCTGCAATTGGATTTCTGTGGAGCCCTTTAGAGCCGTCTGGCTGAGCTACTAAACCAGCTTTGAATTAAGCAGCTCTTGTGGGTGCTTCCCCTAAAGATACACAATACCCTTTAACATACAAACGGATGAAAGGGGAAGCAAATCAGATGGAAGCAGGGCAACCAGAAGGGCACAAATAAATACTCTGTGATGATTCGTGGACGGCGGTTTTGTTGAACATCAGGAAAATTCTCTTGAACTCTTTAAATCTGATTTGGACAAATGTCAATCCCTATCCCCCATAAGAGGCTGGAGCTCCGCTTTGAATCGCAATGCCACTCTGGTCTCTTTGCTCCGCTTCCTCCTCTGGCCCTTTTGATCCGCAGCCCAACATTCCCAGTATCTGCCTCTGACCAGATGGTTTGAAATAAGAGTATTTACAAAGGTATTAGGGTTAAGCAACCCTGCCTTGTTCTGCTCGCTGCTAAGCACTGAGACAAATCATTAGGAATGATCAAAGCTTAGAAGCTTCAGTTCACCCAAATCACCTGGAAAGAAATGTCATTTTACAGCAATTTCACAGAGGCACTGGATAAATATGACAAAGCTGGCTACCTTTAGGAGACTTAATGTGATTCTTCATGCTTTTGGCTAAAAACTTTTCTGTAAAATTGCTGTTTTTTGTTTGTGCTGTGCCCCTTTTAGCCTCAAATGATCACGACCACCACCAAACATAATTTACATACTTTACAAATGCTTGGAAACCCACTTGAATTAAACCACAAAAAATGTGAACCTTTCTTTGATGAGCAAAATTTCGGTGCAACCATTCATGCCAACTGTTTTCTTTACAACCAAAACATCAGAGCAAGCATCATCACAGTATTTGACCAAAAGCCCCACGACATTCAGTTTACAACGAAGTCAAACAGAAAAGATCTTCACACTAAAACTCCAACCAGAGAATTTCTGCATTTTTTCCTCTAAAAATGATCATTTGAAATTACATTTTCTGTTCATTTAATCCACAAATTGGACCCATTAGAGGTGCTAATGAGGTGGTAGAGGTGCTTAAGGGGTATCTAAGCCATTTTGTGTTGTGCTGCCGTAAATAGGCAGGACTTGCAATGCTGAGATTTAAAATAAAGAAAAAGGGACAAAGGTCAAACTTGATGCAACAGAGGTGGAGATGTCTTGACTTTCAAGCTTTTAAAATGTTGGATTCTCAATAGATTTTCTGTTAAAGGTGTGGAGTTCTCAGTGTGTGTCTTTGTATTCATTCAAGCTTCATGATGTGTGTAAAACAAAATCATCTGTGTAAAATTCTATGTGTACCAGCTTGTCAGGGTAGAGCTCAAACAATGTCATCCAATATACATTTTCTTCACATAAATGTTATTTGGAATGTGTTTGTGGAGGAACTGTGACCGCCTGAGGTTACCAGTGCTCTGTGGACAAACCCAATGACCTGTTGGCTATTTCTGTATTATTATTATTCCTTGTGACTCATCAGTAACGATGCATGATGAGCTCATATCTGTCATGCTGGTGCATCAGTTTGGCTCTTCTCATATCACGTATTTACCTCTTTTAAATTAATCTTGTTGCCTTTCACCTTTTAATGTCATTATGATTTTTCCTAATGTGCTTTTTATGCTGAGTGCTTTGTAAATCAATTCCTATCGATGCACTACAGTGCTTTTTAGTTTAAGAATAATGGGACTATTTATAATTACTTTCTTCTTCTTGACTCATATCTGCTCTTGTTTATCATCAGATGGAAAAAGGCAATTATTGTTACTGAAGACAGTGTAGAATGTATCGATATTTATTGCCTCCAAAGTATTTACAAATGCACAATCACACACTGTACAGATTATACATTACAACCCGTGATCTTCACGATTCACCTGTGTACACTCCTGTCAGGAGCACAGATAGGCTCAGCAGACGTATACTAGACTGGTAGGTTTTAGTCCAGATGCTGCTGAAGCCGTGACGGCAGCTCCTCCAGTGAGCTGAGCCGATGTTCTTGAGGAATGTCGGGTTGGTTATGCTCGTTGTGTCGGTCTATCAGGAACCCATGGATGCCCACGGACCTGGAGGTGAGGTAATCCTTCACATAGTGATCCCCAATATGAGCTACACTATCGGCTGGTACGCCACATTTCTGCAGGGCCTGATCAAAGATGACTGGACTGGGCTTTGCTACACCGGCTTCCTCTGATGTTACTAAAAAGCTGAAGTGTGACAGCAGCCCACAACTACGAAGAATCGCTTCGAGACGGCTGTCAAAGTTGGACACCACGCCCAGCTTCAGTCCCAGAGAGGAACAGCTCTCCAAGGCCTTCTGTGAGTCTGGAAATACCTGAAACAGGAACATTACACTGTTTAACCTGACGTCTTCGGCATATCCACAATTCTGAACAGTGATAAAGAGAACAAACATCAGCAGCAATGTCCAAACTGCTTCACAAAGCAATCTGTTAAAGGTATTTTTCATATTAAGTTAGAAAATATTCTGTATTATCAGCACACATAATCAGAAACAAACAGGCTTTATAAATTTGAATGTCAATGGTCATGTACCTCCCAGTTCTCTGCATTGCAGAAGTTATAGTAGAGGTTGTTTGCCGCTGTATCCAGCAGGGCAGGGTCCTGCACCCGGCACTGGGACAGAGTGTCCCGCACCACGCCCGTCCACCAAGTCTTTCCATTCAGACCCTGAGTGATGCCGTAGTTTGGGTATCTGCTGGAATAGCGTCGATGCGCCTGTCGGAAAGCAGCTTCGACCTCCACAGGACTGAGGCTCAGGCCCATTCTCTCAGCCTCTTTGCAGTACTGCTCTCCCACAGACGCACGCACCTTCAGCAGGGTGTCTTTCACATCCCACAGCACCCAGCGCAGAGGAGCTCGCATCACACCTGTACGAGCAAGAACACAAACAGAAAACAGCTGAGCAGCATGTGCAATAAATGCCCCCTAACCAGGCTGTTTTTCATGGAGCCTTCTGCACTTTGACATTTGCTAAAACAAATATGGCCAATTTGACTCGTCATAGCAGCAAAAGGAGATTAAACAAACAACTTCAATGATGCCAGTGTGCACTACAACCATGAACCCAACGCAGCAAAACAGATGTAATGATATTTGTTTTGATCCAGGGTTATACACTAGAGGGTGGATTTGACAGCACAACAGATGATTTCTCTCACACAGATTGAGTTGTGGAAATATTCACATACGCTACGACACATTTCTTCTGGCAGTTTGTGACAACTGGCTTTATTTTTGGCTTCCCCAGCCTGTCACCTGAATTAACATAATTTAGGATTATTGCATTTAAGCAGCAGGATGATCATTTAAACAGTTTGACGCCTTTACTTGGTATAATTGAGTACATAACTCATAACTGAGAAGCAATAATCCTGTCTCATATAACCATTCTCCCAGTAATATTGTAAATAAAATTAATTTCATTGCTAGGGTTCCAAATTGCTTTAGTTTATGATATCTACAGCACCTCTTGTCTGTCAGCATGCACTGGAGCCCTGAACCCAACACAGCAGTGCAGAAAGTAGCTAATAATGCTAACTATTACTTTAACTACATCTGTGTTTTCTCTGCACAGTGAACAGTTAATCAGAAACCCTCACATAACGAATGATGTTTAATTATATCCCATTAATAACACACGTGGTGACTGTAACTACGTGACGTCACCTGACTACAAGCCTTGGTCGTCTTGGTTACAAGTTTTGACCGACGAGGAGCACAGAAAGGCTTCTTTAACCATTTAGCACCGCTAGCTAAGATTACACTCGGTCACTTTGCACCTAAATACCTACAAGCCTTTTTTCGCTGTGTTGGAGAACTACACCAAACAAGACATTTAATTAGAAAGCCTGTAACGTTACCAAAGTCAAGTCCTCGCAATGATCAAGAGTCGCTACCAAGGTTAGCTCGAGTTAGCCACCTAGCTGCTGCTTCTTCTTCTTCTTCGGTGCATGGAGTCAGAGCTGCTGTTGCCGTCTGTTGGAGACTTCAGCGCTCATTCCTCTGTCTGAAAACGAATAATAATTCACATTCTGTCACCCAAGTTCTTCCTACCCATCATTCAGCAACTGTTGATATTATTCTGGTGACCGCTGGGCATCTTCTTCGTCCATACATTCATATTTATACCGCACCGGTGTTTCATACATCCCGTCCAGCAGGCGGCAGTAAACAGGAAGCAGATCTTACAGCGCCATCATGTACGCATGCGCAAAGGGTCACATGCGGTAAAGTCAACTTGGACAGCTGCTTTAAAAACAAAACAACTGCTACTCGTGGATAAACCTCAAACGACGCATTTACATTTTTAAAGAAACTGGGCTAGGCTAATGTTGCTAACACAATGGCCACTCCCGCTATTCGGATGTTTCGGAGGTTAGAGGGCCTGTTTTGTGTCTACAAACCATTCGGGGTTCACTGGAAGCTCGTAAGGGACGCCATCGAGACAAACCTCCTTAAAGGTGAGTGTAGCATATCCTTAAAAAAAACCCAAACACTGTATTTTCATGCCTGCTGTCACATTGGTACAGTTGTGTATTATAACTGAGTATAACAAGTCACTCTGCCTTACTTTACAATACAACTACAATCTAATGGGTCTGTGAACGCATCACCCTTCAGGTTTGAGTGATATACCTTCCCAGCCACTTCCTCAGGAGGTCCGCTTCTTGCCACAGCCAGGCAGTGAGACTGAAGCATCCAAGGGCCTCACACTGTCTGCAACCTTAGTGCCTGTACTGTCCAATCACCCTCTGGGTAAGTCTGTCTCACCTTATAGCTCCTTCTTCTGGATCACCTGCCTGCTCATGGTCATCACCACACCAGGGCTGTTGTTAATAAAGCTTTCTGTAGATCAAATATAGATGTTTGTCACTATTTTATCTGTTAATATACAATAATTCCAATTGTTAGAGAAGCATATATCCGTACATGTTGCTGCGCTCAGATTTTATTTCCTTATTTGTTGTTTGACATCCAAAACAACTAAGTTCTTTGGTTGAATTTTGAGAAGTTCATATCTTCTCAGACCTGGGAATTTTTAAATTTTCACATCTCACATGGGAAACCATTTAGTATCTCCAGAAATATAATTCCCACAACCATGAAATTTGGTGAGACAAATTTTTTCTCCACCTGATTACATGACTCCAGCAGATTCTCAATTTTTTTTAAACCTCTAACATCAGTAGAATTTAACGTGTTACCGCGAGCCAGAGCTTCCAGGCCACAAAACCTGGTGTGCATAGCGGCCTACACATTACAATTATATGCGAAATGGCTCAAGTTGCTTCAATGTTGTCTTCATGTTCAACAGCTAATTCTGCTTTACTGAATCATACATATACTTGAAAGAAACTGAGAAGGCAGAAAAACTGATGACAGTTCAACACACCTCACAATGAAGCTCATGTTCGTCTGACCTACCAATCAATTAACCTGCTTATTGATTAACCTCGCTTTCGTTCTAGCACATAAATGGCTTAAAGGAGAGACTCGCAATTTGTCTGCTGTAAATACTCAAGTGCCTTAATGAGCACTGAAACAAGTGTGGCTGTCTGTAATCAGTTCTCCTCTTAGTACAGACCATTAAGGGTGAGTGGACGTGATGAGTCCACAGTCCTCCTTTTGTTCAAAGACATATTCCAGTAAACATCTTATGGTGATGTAATGCCTTAAGACACATTTCAGACAGGACACTTTGTCAGATTTTTAACCATTTATTTGAGATCACATGCATTGAGTTTGGCGGTGACTCTGCTCGTGATGCTCTGGAACAATCTGAGAAAGCATGACACAGATAATCCCTGAGATCACAAAGCCCTGCCGAGCCATGAATTTACAATTTTTCAAATACGGTATGAACAGGAGAACAGGAGACCAACTAAATAGTCTTCACTTACAGAATCTAGATTGCATAGTTCAAGGTACAATAATGAACCTTCTGCCACCTCCAGTCCCACGATATGGGAAACACCGGGGTTATATGATTGAACTGTTTTTAAAAGATGGTGGTTGGGGAGGAGGAGGAGATTTGACGATCTGCAGAGGCTGGAGTAGCAGCGATGTGGTGAGCGTGAAGCGGGCAGAATGAATGAACGCTGCCTCAGTTATAAAGCACGCTAAGTGGGTGGGCTGGACTTTAGCGACGACGATTGGACAGGAGCGGCCATGTGACACCCTGACTCCGTGCCTGTCTGAACTAACCCGAAGCTCTATTTTACCAAACAGGAAGAGCTTCTTGATTTGATTAACTGATAAGAGCTTAAGCTAAACTTAGAGAAAGCTTAAATGTTGTGGATTTGTCACTAATTTCATTGGAAGCACATTGAGACGGTTTTATAATTGTTTTGTGACGTACTTGTATCAGACCATACATGAAGTCTGGCCTCATTTTGGAAGTGTTGTCTGAAAAGGATGGACTATATGAAACTGCAGTTGTTGTGAACACTGGAAATCAGTGAATAAACAGTATTTTTTTTCTGTGTTTTAGTGACTGGACCTGAATTCCAGCACATTCGAGTTGGAGTCGGCCATCGCCTGGATGCTTTCTCCTCTGGTGTTCTAGGTATAACTTTAGTGCGGATTAAACGATAAATCCATTTGTTGAAGACGACGTTGTTTCTAATCTACAGTCTCTCTGAATATTCACACATTTTAAACTTTAGTTCTTGGTGTTGGGAACGGAAACAGGGCTCTGGAAGACCTCTACAGGACACGAGTCACGAGGGTAATTATCATTTGTGCCGGTTCTACATCAGACATAAGAGGCAGTATTGGCGGGTTTAATGCTTGTTTTATTCCAGGATTATACGCTGGAGGGTGAATTTGGGACTGCAACAGATGATTTCTCTCACAAAGGTCGAGTTGTGGAACGGTCCACCTACGGTATGTAGAAACTTTAACGATTTGTAGCTTCCTCAACCTGACACCTAAAATAGCATCATTATATTTGAGAAGTACTAAATTTTAGTGGCTTCATGCCTTTTACTTGATATATTTGGTGTTGTCGCATTGCTTTAGCTGGTATTAATGTCCAGCTTTTGAAGTGAAGTTTTTGTGCTGTTCACCAGGTAAACAAAGGCCTAACTTTGTTTAATCAAAGCAAACTGTGCCAACGCTAGCGCCTCTGATTGTATGTGTCTCCTTTATTAGCTCACATCACACAGGACAAGCTGGAGAGAGTGCTGGCAATGCTGCAGGGAGCCAATCAAAAGGCCTTGTCGACGTAACTGCCTTCAACGTCTTTTACATTTTTGTCAACATAAAGAAATGTTATGCATGTGTCACAGTGCCACAGTAACGTACATGGAAGTAGATGTGACTCGTTTATTTATTTTTTTTCTTTCTTACAGGTATTCAAATGTAGACATGCAATCACAGGAAGCCTATGAGATGGCTGTGCAAGGTCTGCTGGGTCCGGAGGGGAAGTCGGCGCCTATTTTGACAGGCTTGCGTTGCATTCACTTCCAGCCTCCCAACTTCACTTTAGGTAAACAATCTTCAGTCGACCCCACGGAACATCCGCGAAAAAAAACCTGGTTTGATAATCGTGTCTCCTGCTCTTACAGAGGTCCAGTGCCTGAATGAAAGCCAGAAATACCTGCGCAAAGTCGTGCACGAGATCGGACTTGAACTGCGCAGCACGGCGGTGTGTACGGGAGTCAGACGCACCAGAGACGGTTTCTTCACCCTGCAGGATGCTCTGACCCGCAACCACTGGACCGCTGCTGATATCACGCAGGCCATCCGACAGTACCACGCCTCTAAGAAGAATAGAAAGTCACCGATGAAGAAACTGCCGTCAAAAACATCTGAAGATATGACAGCCGCTCGGCGAAACGAAGCTAATGAAGAAGCAGCGGTAGGTGAGATTAAGTAGGTTGTTGCTGAGACGAGCAGCTCCGCCGTGACTCTGTGGGCTTGATTGCTGCATCACCTCTCACAGTTGGAAAAGAGGTTTGCAGATCAGAGACGCTGGTTTTGAACCCTGAGCGAGTAGCGACAGTCAAATTGGACACCAATAATCTATTTCCCCTCAGCTCCAGAGACACTCGTGCATCTCTTGTATGCTGTGATAGTAACTTATTCTGTAAATGTTAACATGAAAGAAGTGTTTTGTTTTTGTTTTTTTTTAAATCATGAAATAAATTCAAATAGAAAACAAGAGTTTGATTGTGGTAGAAGATTAACTGCCTTGTGATAATTTGAGCTCTGTTTTATTGTCTATAGACAGAGTGAATTAGTACAAATTAGGGGGAACTATCTATAGAGGCTTTTACATGACAAGTGGAGTAACACTATTTATGGCCTGTACGTGAGATGCTGCACCTGCTCTGTCGGTAAAAACACTCCTCAAACATGCAGCCTTACTCGGTCGGACCCAGTAGCAATAATTTTACCCTGATGCAGGTTGTATGCAGTAATTAAGGGAAGACTTTTTCCACATTTCAGCACAAGCATTCGTCAAAAACCACCACATCGTCTGACCTCCGAGCATCTGAAACAACAGCAGCAGAATCCACACGAGCGTCTCCAAAGGGAGAAAAAGTGCTGACAGCTTTATTAATTACTTGTATCTCTGACGTAGAGGCAGGACCGACGAGAATCTAAAGCAAGTCACGCTGTCATTTTACTGTTTGCAAAGTAACAGTTAGATTATCGTCACATGCAAAGAATTTTCAGTGTTTAGAAAGTCAGTTTGAGACTTTAATGAGCTGCTGTTAGCTTCGATGTAGTCTTCATTATGCTTTATTACGCTTGGTGTTTTGTCTAATCCCTCGTGAATGACGGATATTGCCAATATGCCTTCTCATTCACACATTAATTAAGCCAACAAGGTTACACATCCCGTATCTGCAGAGGGCTTGAGACAGTAGTAATGTTCAAACGGAGAGGGCTTAACGATCCCTGCTGTGACCGAGAGGCTCTGACGTGAACAAACAGGTGGCAGCCCGCCAGCTTTCCCACCGTGAGCAATAATAGCCCGACTGTAACACGCGAGGACGAAATAATGACGGCAACAGTGACTTTAACTGCACACCTTGCAGCTGGTTCTCAAAATTAAACTCCACCTGTAATTTTGTGCCTCGATCCATTTAAACGCTTTGCAATTTCCTCGTAGTGCCTCTGAAGATCTCCTGGGAAGGACTTTGAAACTAATTATGGGAAACAGACAAACAAGAAGCCTGCGTTGGTCACAGCAGCGTTTAATTGAAATTCAGTTATTGGAAGTTGCACCATTGAAAATGACTTGCTCATAAAATCGAGGCTTCTGTTGTTGTCAGTGTTTCTGCCTGAAGGGCGTGAGGATAAACATTTCATCGGTGGGTGAACGTGTCCTGGCAGTCAGTGCCAGTCGCTGATATCAGATTTGGTGTAATTATCTGTCCTCTGAAGATGCTGGAAGCTGTCGTCTCTGCATTTCCCACAAATCCTCCTTTGGGATGTGACGAGGTTATTGCTGTGGCGCCATTGTTGTCGTGCTCTTCATACCATTTAAGAACTTGTTGTTCCATCGGGAACACAGTTTTCTTTGTCCGTCTCGAAACACACAACTTCCATGAGGACACAAATTAAATACGCACGCAGGCAAACTGTTGTCCTGGAGGTTTATTAAGCATGAGACATGAGCAATTTGATTAAAGGTAGTTGGTGACACACGTCGTAGGGAAACACGCAGCAGCATCACGACAAACAAGAAGCTTACATTCAGATGAGAAAAAAAGCTGTTATTGATTTTAATACCAGTGTGTTTCATTACAGAGGCATGAAATTCATTTATGATTATCTTGCCAACCTGGCAGCTGTGACGACTGCAAGGAGGACGAATGCCAACGCTGTTAATTTGGAACAGACGCACACGATCATTACAAAGTTAATATTATTATTGAGTAAAGCGGAGTGGTAGTAAACAAAAACAAAATGATTTGCTCATAAATACTTTTAAATCAGAAGAGATGCTTGAAAACACGACGACGCTCCGTGACTTCAGAGAGATGAGTTGGTTGAAACATACATATACACATTTAGGTTATATTAATCACCATAAAGTATCGACATTGTAGAACAAACATTCAATAACTGTACAATAGAGGAGATTATCTGTTTGTGACCCGAAACGAAATACTTTTCATGAATAGAAAGTGCTGAAGTACTTAAATATGTGATTACTAGTGAGATAAGATCTTTGTCTGGAGCCAGACTCTTCAAATGTGGTCTAAATGTAATGATTGGAAATTGCACAAATAGAGAAAGGGTGGAAAACGAGTTTAACAAAAGAGTGCAAAATGATTAAATCTGTGATGTAGTAACTCTCCCTGAACCAGCTACTGTATGCATGAAGGTTTCTTTGGTGTCTTCACATCATAGTGACACTTCTAAGTATATTTTGAGCAAGTACAAGCATGACTTACACTTAAATTGTCCTTTAAATCAATGAGATAAAATAGAAGTAATCGGAAACAACCTGCACAGTTTTGTAAATAGAGTTGTTGCATCACACCAGCCTGCAGGAAAGTCCAACCAGCACAGTATGTTAACACTCCTTATGATCTGCTAGAAAAACACATCTGCTCAGCAACATGTTGACGTTTTCCTCGGTGCTGCCTGTTGCTGCAACGCCGCGGCTTCCTCTGTTGTGCCAATTCTTTGATTCAGCATCCTGGCAACGAACACGATTGGCAGATGTCATGACAGGTGACAAGAGGACATGTTTCAAGAAATACGTAATGTGAAATTACCTGGCCACAGTTTCCAGAGACTGAACCACGTTTTCACCTGTGGCAGCACTGCACTCCATGAATTCAAAGCGGTACTCCTGTGGGGTTAGAAAGCTGCCGTCAGTGCGGGTGTCGCCACAAAGCGATCATGAGAGGGAGCGCTGCACCGTGCTCATACCTTTGCGAGGATTTCTCCCTGTTCAGTCTGAACCTGCCGCTTTGCACAGTCGCTCTTGTTCCCAAGCAGTAAAACCGTCACGTCTTCTGCAGCACTTTCCTGCAAAAATATGGATTTTTGTTGTTTTTTTTTTTTTTTTTACATCATTGCAACGATTCAAACATGTTTTACAGACGAGTCTTAAAAACAATTAGGTCCCAACTTCTGTAAATCTATCATAAAGTATCTGACATTTATTGTATTTATGACTTTCAGCAACTGTAAATATGTGCTGCTGCTGTTTCAAATACACAGTTCAGAATGTTTGTCATCTTTAAATTTCGTATCAGGTTCTTCAATATGTAGAACATAAACATTTGATTACATTCTGGGAAGTGAACTTGGATACTTTTGGGGTGCTGGGGCAGTAAAAACCTGGTCAGATGTCAAGCTAGTTTATTATTGTTCGATGAGATATTTCTGAATTTAAACAGAAATGTGCTGTTTTAACACAGTATTT